CGTTATTCAGAAATTAAAATATTAAAATAAGCTTTCTAAACTTATTTTTACCTGCCTTACAGGTCACAGAATCAACACTAAAAGGGACCGTGGAGGCAGAAGCCTAACACTGTTTGCAACTCTGGTTGTACATCAGAATCAGCGGTGGAGCCTGGGCAACACAGTGAGACCCTGCCTCTACAAAACAATTTAAAAAAAAAGATTAGCCATGCATAGTAGCACATGCCTGTAGTCCTAGCTATTCAGGAGGCTAAGGCAGGGGGATTGGCTGAGCCCAGGAATTTGAGGATGTTATGGAGCATGATCATGTACTCCAGCCTGGGCAACAGAGCAAGACCCTATATCAAGAGAAAAAAAAAAAAAAAACTACCAATGGAAGATGTCTGAACTCACACACTGAGACTAACAATCTGTATGGCCCAGCTAGAATTTTTTATAAAAAATAAAATACAAATCCTTCCTCACTCAATTGCTACTATTAGGCAATATCAGTGTTAACACCCTGGCTTTATTATGTGATGACTACTATGTCAAGAACTGGCACAAATGCTAACCTTACTTAATCTATGTATGTCATGACTATGCATGGCAGGTATTATATTTCCATTTTCTTTCAGAAGTCTAACTAAGTTCGGAGAAGGCAAGTGACATGCCTAAACTCACAGTGTGATTATAGCAGGAGCCAGGATTTAAACTTACATCCTCTGGCTCCATAGTCCTGTGGTCTTTCCTCTATACAACAGTAAGTTCATTCCTGGCATAAAATTTGAGCCACAATGGAGTGCCTGAAAGATTCTCTAGCTCAAAACATTCATTTTTTAGATTAAAAAAAATAAGTTTCAGAGTAGAAGAGCAGCCTTCTCAAGTATATACAGCAGCTTAAGGGCAGAGTTTGTACTCAAGGTCAGCTCCTGGCACCCCAAGCTCAGCTTTCTTTTTAATAGATGCCTTCTCTCAAAAGTAAAACATAGGTTCTTCACCTGCATACAGTGCTGCCAAATTTTTTCTTGAAACAGAGTATTGTGACTCAACATGAAATTACATCTTAAAGAGTGTCACACCTACTGATAGGTGTGAATAGGCTGAATATCCAAAATATTTGACAGAGAGGGGCAGAGGTAATTATGTTATCTACATAAGCCCTTTTTTAAAAAAGTAAAAAATCTTCATGGGATAAATTTGATAGCTTTGACAAATTGGAAAAAAAAAAACACAAACTATTTGGTAATTACCTTCTAGTTTGATTTTCTAAACACTTCAAAGAAGTCTCTAGATGCACACTGGCATCAGGTGACAGGATTTCTGAATGTAGATGCAAATGCTGTGTTCAAAAACGGTAAAAAACACGTTCCTGACTGGACAGCAGAGGGAGAAGTAAGGATACATAATGAGAGGAGGGGAACCAGGCACAGGAAGGAGCTGCCCTTTAAAAACCTGAGTGACTGACTGGCAGGCAGGGAGATGATGATGATACAGAGAAGATTTGTAAACAAATGAAGACTGGTCCTGGCTAGCTGGGAGTGTGGATGAGCACCCCACAGCAGCTCTAAGCCTGACTCGGGATACTGTCTGATCCTAGAAATTTACAAATGATATTTCAACCTTTAGCTTAATTTCTAGGAATGGACTAAAAATGCTAAAAATGAAATGTATTGGATCTTGACAAGAACAAATATCAAAAATGAGAACTAGAGGTTAGGAATTAAAATAGATGCTACAAACATAGCAGCCAGTTCTGCCCCAAAGTAAAAACGGCTCGTTCTTTAAAGCATAGAAAGCTACAACCTCACGACAGGAATTCCTGGGACTTACGAACAGTGTAAACAAGTTTATCAGTCTTCTAATTAGCAATTACAAAAAAAATTAGATTCATGAGAAAGAATCCGTGAAGCGGCCATTTACTTTCTCATTCAACTTAGCTGCTGTCTCGTACCTTCACCAGGCCTTCTCATTATACCTCCACTATATAGGACAGATGATCAAATGTCAGTCCCAATTCAAGCAACTAATGTATGGCAGAAACAAATATATTTATATGCTTTCCAGAAAGATTAATAGTAGCTGGTGCTAGCCTGCCAACTGCAGATGTACAAACTTTCTATCCTATACATAAATCAAACACAAGACATATGGTGTATTTTAAAGACTGCTGATGTCACAGTGATTTAAAATTACTCATGTTCTGAAATAAACTATGTAGATGTTGATGAATATGACAATACATTCTGAATTGTTTCATATAAATGTTATAGAATGTAACAGCATTAATAAGAAGATGGCATTGGGAATTAAGAAGAGAGAATGCAAACATATTTAAAATCAAGGAGTACAGTCAGACGTGGTGGCTCAAGCCTGTAATCCTAGCACTTTGGGAGGCTGAGGCAGGTGGATCCCTTGAGCGTAGGAGTTCAAGACCAGCCTGGGTAACATGGTGAAATCATTTCTACTGAAAATACAAAAATAACCTGGGAGTAGTGGCACACACCTATAGTCCCAGCTACTTGGGGGCCTGAGGAAGGAAGATCAATTGAACCTAGGAGGCTGAGGCTGCAGTGAGCTGAGATGGCAACACTGCACTCAAGCCTGGGTGACAAAGTGAGACCTTGTCTCAAATATATACATATGTATGTATGTGTATATATATATATAAAATAAAATATATATTTATTATTTATATATTATAAAATATTTACAATATATAATAAATATATATTATTTATATTATTTAAAATATAAATTTATTATTTATATAGTATAAATATATATTATATATTTCTATAAAATATATGTATTAAAATATTTTTATATAAAATATTTTGTTTTATATATAAAATAAAATATTAAATGAAATGAAATATAAAATCAAGGAGTATGTTTCCATAATCAGTTGTTTGCTGGCTTAGGCAAATTCATTACAATATGGTTCTAATAAGTTACTTGGCTATAATGAGATTTTATGTTTGGTCACCTTAGAAGTTAATCTAATGGGATAGAAAAACTTAACATATCCATAACAGAAATGAGAAAGCAGATAGATGAGTTAGGAGAACAAGGTGGTCTGTGTCTGTCAAATGAGCAGTGGCTGAATCAGAAGTGCACCTGATGTACCAAGAACTATTTGAAAGTTTCCAGGTTAACAGTCACAGTATTAAGCAATTATACAAAACTCAGTGTTACTCAGGTAAGTAGGGCAGAACACGGAACCGGAAATCACAGAGCCAGGGTGATCAGCTCTGAACTACTGTGGGATGGTGGCTTCCTACCTCACAGGGAAGTGACAAAGATCAGAGGAGAGGCATATGCAGGTGTGAAAGTGCTTTATGTATCACTGATTCATCTATAAGGGTCAGGTTTCATCATCACTATCATCACTATTGTCATAATCATTCTTACACTCAAGTCATTTTCTACTACATACATCTTGGCTAGTGTTAAAAACCAATTCTCTGGGCGGTCAAGTGATCTAGGTACAAGAAGAGACTTGAAAATTGGTTACTAGAAATGATATTTTTAAAAATAAAATTTGCACAATGCCTTTTACAACTGCCTAAGCCAGGCTCATTGAGCATTTCAATTCCTATAGACACCTGCTCCGTATTGTGGGTTTCCTTCAAATGATCCCAGCCATTTTGATCGCAGAACACACGGCTTCATGAAAACATGAGAATCTGGCTGCTGTAACACAAATGAGCTCCTCTGCTGCAGCAAACCAAAAGAAAATCAAAGTCTGGTTCTTGATCTCTTCTCAGAAGGCCTGTATATATTGTGCATGAAACAAATGGTGGCAAGGATCAGGAGAACAGCCATTCTCAGGTCCATAGTGTGACACTATCAGTCATGACTAATCACATATATGTATATATTATAGGAGCAAGACATTTCAATATGGTGGAAAATATTGCTCAGTGTAAGGTCCTGGGTTTTCTGATGAGGCAGAGTGTGGGATGTTGGGTCAAAGAGAAAGGAAGAAGCTTAATGCCTCAAAATTTAGAATAACTCAGATCTCTGAGATCCTAAACTACTTTATTAAAATGTGAGCATGTGGAAGGAAGTGTTTGGTATAATTAGCAGACCTCTTGTTTCTGCCAAATAGAAATAATCACATACCTATTCCCTTATTCAATACCTATTCATTCATAAATACCTAAAAGGAGTCAGGTGTTGTGTTAAATATTGGGGATAACAGCTGTCTACGTGCACACATGGGCCCTGGCTTTATGAAGCTTTATAATCTAATGAAAGAGAAAAAATGAAAAATAACAATAAATGCATGAAATAACGCCTTGTGCTAAAAAGAGTGATGATGATCAAGGTTATGAAGAAATGTGATAAAGATTAAATGGAAGTGTTGGGAGCTACTTTAGATAAAGTGATGGGAAAAGTCCTCTTCCAGAAGGAGACCTGAATGAGACTGCGCCAGCTGGGAAGAGCTGGGAAAGGAGCATTCCAGGCATAGGGAACAGTAAGTGCAAAGGCCCTGAGGCAAGAAAAGGCTTTCAAGCATTAAAGGAGCTCCAGAAAAGCAGCCAATATGGCTAAAGCACCATACGATGGAGAAGAGAAACGTGAGACACGTTTGGAGGAGTGACCACAGTCACATTTGGCAGACTATTTGGCCAAGTTCGGGAGAACAGTCTGGACTCAAATGCCTGGGCTCAAGTGATCTTTGCACCTCAGCCTCTCAAACAGCCAGGACTACAGGTGGATATCACTACGTCCAACTTAGGTTTTTAAATCTTAATGTTTTAAAAAGGCTCATTCTGTTTTAAAGTATCACTCTAACAGCATATGTCTATCATAATATATAAACCATAATTTTTATATGAAAGGGGTTAGCATTTGAAGAAATCAGTAGGTATTTTGAAACATTTAAATAAAAATGAACTTAAAGGAATACACATTTAAAAAGTCCCTGTGGTAATCTGAAGATGAGTGAGCTAAGCAACGAATCTGTAATTAAAAAAAAAAAAAAATTCAAAGAACAAAACAAACCTACTTACCTCCTCGTTGCACCAACAATGTGACCTCACTCCCCTTAGGACACTCAACCAGCATATCCACCACTTGGTTGTGAGTTAGAGCCTGCACGTTCTTCTTATTAACTTCCACTATGAGATCCCCTTCTTTCAGGCCTCGGCACCTTGGGCTGTCAACAATCTGTTTCACTCTTTGGCCACCCCCACCAGGACTGTCTGCAATAGTAAAACCAAAGCCCATTGGCCCTTTGACGATATGAACAGTTATGAGTTCTGGCTGAGTGGCTATGGAGGAAGCCAAAGAAACAGTGTCATTAGGATAACCATGAGAACTACTTGAAGCCACGTCCGCTGGGCTGCTTGGCCTGGCATCCTTCATGCCATTGACTTTGCCTGTTTTGCTACTGTGGCTAGCTGGTGAATCATAGGTCTCTTGCCCATTCACAATAATTGGCTCTTTATCCAAAATGGCTACCGAGGTCACTAAACTTGTATTGGGGTCATCTGGATCAAAAGGCAATGGATAACCTCGGCAGAGCTCAAGGTCCACGCTGGCACCAATGGGGATAGACTGGAAGATCTTCACAACTTGAGCATGTGTGTGTCCCAAAACACAGGTGTCATTCACACTGACAATCACATCCCCTGTAGAAGAGAAGAGTGTGGAGGTTAAAAAAAGCACCCAGAAAATTGTCATCAGTATTATAACATATTCCACTAATATAAAGCTGAACTGAAACTGCACGTGGGTGTGATACTATAGGGCACAGACTGCTTCTATTTTTTCAGCACCTAGTGTCTTCCCCGCTAATAAGAATAAAATAATCACTGAGAGAAACACTGGAGCTTTCTCAAAAAAAAAAAAAAAAAAAAAACTCACTGCAGAAATCCAAGCTTAGAATTCATTTATTCAAATGGGGATCTACAGTTTTAATAAATTACTGTTTTTGTACTCAGACAGTTTCCCAAAGTTAAAATAATTTCACAGGTTTTAATCTGTCCCAAGGGATGGATTTATATAATGTGGAGATCTGGCTCATTCTCAAGGTGTTCTAAGGTATAAGCATGTGCAATCATGACACTGTTTGGTCTTGCTCAAACCAAACATCATGATTGTACATGTTTATGTTCTGGGTTGGAGTCTTACCACACAGAACACACTAAGGCCATGTGGACGCTACCTGTTTCCATCTTGCCATCCAATGCAGCAGGACCATCTAGGACCAAGCTCTTGATCTGGAGAAACTCGTCAGGTTCATCCCCTCCAACCACCGTGAAGCCAAAGCCACGACTGCTTTTCCGCAGCTTCGTGTGAATGAACTTGCCTTTCAACTCAGAAGGGTTTCGTGTAAAAAAGGGTTTGCCTGCGTTAAAGTAAGAAAAGCATAAGGAATGTCACCATCGGTGAAAAGGAGAATTAAACAAGATTTGAGACAACATATATATCATTCTTCAAGCTTATGCCCTAGAGCCTTTGGGCACATAGCATCTTAAGAAAGTTCTCTCTTAATTTCAGGAATAAGGATGTTCCTAGACCCCACTGTTGAAGGAGAGAGGTATGTCAACTACAGGGTCTAAAAGAAAATACAAGCGAGGGATGACATTAGACCCTGTCAGGTGACACACTTCTTGGTTTCCATTCATGCAGTTTGACAGGAATTTAGCTGTCATAAGCTCCTTCACAGAAAATGGAATTGGTCTGTTTTATGTCTTTTGTTCTGTTTTATTTTGTATTTTGCAATATGGCTTCCAATGTGCTGCTTTGGGCCTGGCTTCTACTTGAAAAACCAACTGAGCAGTAAAACCTTTAGTTTTAATCAAACAGAATATCCAGGCTGAAAATGCACAGATAATACTAGAAAACATAGTATGGACACAAATAATAATTCGACAAAAATGTAGAATGACTATTTTCAAAATTAAGGGTCATCACTTTGAATTGAATTCTAAATTCAATTGATTTTTTCCTATTAATTTGCACCTGTTATTAAATTTGTAAAACAGCCAACACATGTCCACGGCTAAGATTTAGTGTTTATAACAAGCTTTGGATATTTGTTTAAAAAACACAAACTGGCTCATGTAATCCCAGCACTGTGGGAGGCCGAGGTGGGCAGATCACAAAATCAGGAATTCAAGACCAGCCTGGCCAACATGGTGAAATCTTGTCTCTACTAAAAATACAAAACTTAGCTGGGCATGGTGGCGGGTGACTGTAATCCCAGCTACTCAGGAGGCTGAGGCAGAAGAATTGCTTGAACCCAAGAGGTGGAGGTTGAAGTGAGCCAAGATGGCACCATTACACTCCAGCCTGGGCGACAGAAAAAGACTCAAAGAAAGAAAGGAAAGAAAGGGAAGGAAGGGAAGGAAGGGAAGGAAGGAAGGAAGAAAAAGAAGGAAAGGAAGAAAAAGAAGGAAAGAAACGAAAAACACAAACCAAAAAACAACCAAACCAAACCAAACAAAACAAACAACCCCAAAATCCTAAAGTAGTTACTAACAGTAGCCATATAGCTCCAAATTCAGCTGTCTTATTTAACATATATTAGGCTGGGCATGGTGGCTCATGCCTGTAATCATAGCACTTTGGGTGGTCAAGGCAGATGGACCACCTGAGGTCAGGAATTTGAGACCGAACTGGGCAACATGGTAAAACCCCATATCTACTTAAAAAAAAAAAAAAAATAGCTAGGTGAGGTGGTGGGTGCCTGTAATCCCAACTACTTGGGAGGCCGAGGCAAGAGAATCACTTGAACCCAGGAGGTGGAGGTTGCAGTGAGCCAAGTCTCGGCATTGTATTCCAGCCTGGGCAACAAGAGCAAAACTCTATCTCAAAAAGTAAATAAACAAAATAAATTAAATTAACAGATAGAGATACAGCTAAATAATTTCCAAACATGAAACCTAAGGTTTTATTGAGTTTTCTTGATACATTCACTAATAACATTTTGAACATAAACCAAAATGTTTTCTTTTGGGATTTACTAGGCACATATCTGTAACTGAGAAACTTACTGAAACTTCTCTGATTATCCCAAGTAGTAGACCTAAACCAAATTTCATGAGCAGATTCTTTCATCTCTCCTAACTTTACTTACTTCTTATACCCTGTCCTTGCCACACACAGCTTCTCCACCTGCCCTGTTTCTTTTCTATCAAAAATGTTATCCAAAACAAAAAGAGAGAGAGAGAAAGAGGGAGACATTAGTCTCCTATATCCCTGCACTAGGAGCCTGGGACCTAGGAAGAAAAGTTATTTTTGGTTAGTTATATCTAAAAGGCCTTAAAAGGTATCTGGGCATGCATACAATTTTTAATTGCATATTTTTAAAGTTTCTGGCTCTTGCAAAAAAGGCTCTTTTAAATTGCCTGCAATCAGAGGTCCTTTCGCTAACCTGCTCTTTAGCGCAGTCCCAAGGCTTGTTGGAAGCTTGACAAACTACAGCCCTGTCACAGTGGTGAAAGAAAGACAAGACTTAGAAGGATTTGCCATGCAAAGTCATCTGCCAAGGCACTGGGAGGGTGGTGTCACTTCCACCAAGAGCTTTGGGGAGACCACTGCCAAGACAATTATCAGGTGGAAATCGGTAAGATAACCCCCAAATTTACTTTAGTGGGAGGTGGGTAAGTGGCCTACACTCTTACAGTAGGGGCTGCTAGGGCATTCCAGGACTTTGAAAGGAAACACATTTTAGTTATGCAGAGACATCATCGACAGCCATTACCTTTCCAGCAAGACCTTCCCTAACCACCTTACTAAAAATTGCAGTACCTCCAACATTCCCAATCCCTTTTTCCCGCTTTATTTTTGTCCTTAGCATTTACCACCTTCCAAAAGGGTATACGTCTTACCTATTTTTTTTTCCTACTGTCCCCCACTCCTATGCATGAAGGGCACTGCCTATGCAGGTACATAAAACCACTAGAATGTTAGTTCCATGAGAATTTTTCTATGTATATCCAGTATCTAAAATATGGTCTGGTATATTTTATGCACTCCAAAAATTTTTGTTGAGGGAGTGAATGAATGAACAAATAAAAGTACATAGAAATGAAATTTAACATGTTTTTGGGAAGGCTGAAAAGCGGTATTTGGGTGTTAGAGCTTTTCACTCTTATTATAGGCTAACTTAGAAAATGTGAAAATGTGCCTGGCAGTTTATGTAATTTAAAAAAATACATTAGCATATTTTGTGCTGAGAATGTTAACTTAATAAAGACATGAGCAGAGCTTTGAAATTATACAACTGACTTCCTTTTTCAATGTTTAACAAGGGAGGGAAGATCAGAAGTTTTCACATTTATGCACATTTTATTACTCTTTACGTCTGGGTGGATCATTAGTTAATGTAGCTTTTGGAAAGAAATGCTTTTCACCCCCTAGGCAGTGGAATTTGGAGCTCTCAGCTTCAGCCCTGTGGTGCATGTGATCTTCTAAGATCCTAACCTCTGTTTACTAGTCACCAGTGGTAAGACTTGGTTGTATGGGAAAATCACCTGTGTAGCTTTTTAAAATGTACTCATTTCCAGTTCCTTCCCTAGACTCACTGATCAGGATGTTCTGGGTCTTGGCCCAAAACACCTTAGGTGTTTGTTTCCCCGCTGGGCTCAGGGGAGGGGAAAGAAGTGTCATTTCCTGATGCTAGTGTTTAAATATCCTAGACCAGTACTGTCTAACGGCACTTTCTATGATGATGAAAATGCTCTGTATCTGCACCGTCCAATATGGCCGCTACTAGTCACATGTAGCCACTGAACCCTTGAAATGTGGCTAGTGAGACTGAGAAGCTGAAGTTTTTGATTTTTTTAACTGTAATTAAATTGAAATGGCAATGTGAAACCAGTGGCTTCCATACTGAACAGCATAGACTTAGACTACACAAATGAGGCACAGTCTAACCTTTCAACCAAAAATGTTTCAACCAGAAGTTAAACTATTCCTCATGAAAATTAGTGTTCAAATCTGTAGTCTGCTACTTAGTGGCTATATGGCCTTGGGCAAGGTACTAAACCTCTCTGCCTGAGTATCACAAGTACAAATGGAGGTAATGATGATACCTATTTCATATGATAGTTGTGAGGAACAACCATGATAGATAATGGAGGTAAAGTGCCTAGGAAGGTACCTGGCACATAATAGGAGCTCAATAAATGAGTTACTGTTTTGTTAGCAATGGTGACAGAGTGAGTGTGATCGAGGGGTAGCTGCAAAAATCTCTCTCTAAGCACAAGCTTGATGCTGGGGAGTTTTCACAAGAACATATCTTCAAATTATCACTTGCTGGAATTAGAAGTACATTCTTGATCAGGGGAGAATTTAGTTGACCTATCAATTTAGCAAAATTAATACCAAACAATCTAACCAGATTAGCTATATGTCTTCTTACTGACAGTCTATCGACACTAGATATTGCCCAAGATACAAGACATTAGACACTAGATGGTTAATCAAGACACTTAACCAGGAAGGTATCCCAGGGTTATAACCAATGTGGCTAAAGTCTAACTTATGTTTACCGAAATCACAGCTTAGAGCCAAACGGTACGGATTTTAACTGGTTTCTTTGGTATTAGTTATGTTCCAAAGATTATAAAGGTGCTTGAAAGGTGTGGCTCAACAGAGAGACTACACAGTAGAAGAGTGCTAAGAATAAATGAGTCAATCCCAAGGAGAGTTCAGCAAGCCTGAACCTTCCCAGACACTACTGAATGGTATTTGAAAGTGGGGTCTTTGGGAGGTGATTAGATCATGAGAGTGGTGCCCACGTGATGGGCTTATTCTTATAAGGAGAGAAAGAGAGCTAGTCCCTTCTCACTCTGCTCTGCACTATGTGAGAAAATGGCCATCTGTGAACCAGGAAGTGGACTCTCATTGGACACTGGATCTGCTAGCACTGTGATCTTTGACTTTCCAGTCTCCAGAACTGATGAATAAATGTTTGCTGTTTAAGCCACCTAGTCTATGGCAACTTGTCAAAGCTGCCTGAACCAAGACATTAGTGGATGTCTTGGTCAATCATTAGATGACTAAGAGGAATAAGGAAGATATATAAGGAAATAAGGAAGAAGAGAAAAAAAAAAAGGAAGTCTGGGTGAAAGAAAAGTAAGAATTTGAGTCTACTACAGATAAATACCATCCAGGTTCTTAGTTGGTACATGAAGAATTTGGCACCCAGAACCTGAGCTTTAATTTATTTAATTTCTAAGATAATTATTTAAGGAAGTCTGGTTGGCTATTCTATACGTATATGTAGACGAATGGATGGATAGATGGATGGAGACTTTTTCACTCAATAATAATTTCATCAGAAAATAGATATCAAGGGATTATGCCTTGTTCGGGATCATCTCACAATGAAAAAAACAGAAAGCAGAGAATCACAGTCTCTTGCCTCCATGGGATTTAAAGTCTAACGAGAAAACTCTTGTTAAATTATAGCACACAAATGAACACTAGTTATAATGGTTAAATTTCATAAATGCGAAGTACAGAATGGTTAAGAGAAAACATAGTAGGGGAATCTAGCAAAGACTTGAGGTGAACAGGAGTTAGCACAGTAAGAAGGAGGAGGAAAAGACAACTGCAAACAGAAAGAACAGCCTCCGCAAAGACTCATAAGCAGTCCACAGTTTTGCTGGTTAAAAGAACTGAAAGGAAGCTAACTTACTGTGACAGAGGGGAAGGTAAGAAGGCATGAACCTGCAGAAGGAATTTTATATTTACAAACAAACAAACAAAACTGAGGAATCCACATTCAAGTTGATATTAATCAACATATTATTATCTACTATGTCCAATCTTTATTAAAGCCATTATCACCATTAAAAAGTATATTCATGCCAGAAGAAATTGTTTTACATAAATTGATATTCATTCTAATCTCATGAAATGTCACCTAGCAGAGAAAAAATTTCTTTCTTATAAAACTTATAATGAATTAAAATTAGAGAAATGAATTGCTCAACTTATCTTTTTATATCTTACACAATTAAATCTCTAAAAATGTAGAAAGGAAAACACATTTTGGAGTATTTTTAGTGTTTCTGTACCAAAAACATTCTCCAACTCTGTCAAACATGATGCTCATTTAAAAGAAAAAGAAAACTAAACACAACTATTTTGTATAATTTAAGAGTAATGAGGCCTGAAAGTTGCAAGGTTCTGGAGCTTCCAATTCTCAAGAATAATTCTCTATAAGGGCCTCATCCTATGTGTGAATGTAAATAAACAAGACCCATTGAAATATTGTAAACATGCATAAATACCCAAACTACAGCAAGGATAGGGAATGAGAACTGAAAACACAGTATCAAACCATTTACATTTATAGCAAAGTCTCAGTCAAAACCTAGTATGTTGGCTAGGATCTTGGAATATCTAATGTCGAGTTTCGGATTTATCTTTTTTAACATACTGTTAAATATCTGTGGTGTCTAAATCAGTGATTCCTATCTCCTGGATGGGTTTGTTCCCCAGAGACATCTGGCAATGTCTGGGGACGGTTTTCTTGTCACAATGTCTGTCAGAGGTGTGCTGTGTGCTACTGGCATCTAGTGGCCAGGGGACATCTCACAGTGCCCAGGACAGCCCCACACAACAAAGAATTAAATACCCCAAAATGGCAATGGTGCTGAGGTTGAGAAACCTTGGTTTGAATGATCATGTAACAAATCGTCTTTATTTTTAAATTATTACAAATAGTTGAAAAAAATTTCTCAGGAAGATTTCTAATTTTTCTTGACAAGTCTAATTAACAATACTTTTATCACTGCTTTCATTATTTATGGTTTTCACTATTGAAGGAATGACTTGAGAGTTACAAGACTCCACTTTTTAAAATACCTTTAAAAAATCGGATTTTCAGCTAAAACCATAACGCAATTAGAAAAACAAGTACTTTACCCTGAAGTGGAGCTTCTCTGGCTGGTTCTGGATTGCTTGTGGGGTGGTTTGGAATAACAGGAGGCACAAGGGCTGAGTGATCTTCTGTCCATTCTATCAGAAAGAAAAGAAAGTTTCCTATTTTTCCTTCAAATGCCTTGTTTACTTACTTATGATTCACCTTATTATTAGTAATATCCAAAGCAATAAAACCAAGGGCAGATAGCTTAAGAAGTTGTTATCCGATCTCGCTCTATGAAGATCTTTTTTTCTTATCTAAGACATTTGGGGAAAGAAATGTTATGATATAATGAATGAAAACTCCAGTTCTCTCTGGCTGTAAAGTCCAAAGTGAGGTCAGTTTTAAAATGTCAGGAAAGATGTACAGTCAACTAATGGCAGCTGTATAAGGGAGAAATTTCTTCAATGTGATTGAGATATGAGCTGGGCTGCTGAGGCCAGCTTGTCTTAGGTAGGGAGGAAGAGGAAGGTAGATGTCAGCAGTTTGCTAAGGGTACTCTCTTCGGTCATCTCTGAAATCCAAATGAGACCCATTACGAATACTCCTGGACCCTAATTCTAGTCTTATGCACCTTGAAGACCAGACATAATTCATAGTGAGTGACCCTTGAGATGCACCCCAGAATCACTTCGAGCTCAGAGATCATATTCAGTTGCACATTCTCATTTGCAAACTGTGCAAACTGTACTTTCTAACACTACCAAATTTTATCAGCTCAAGAAAGACACATTTAAAAAATTATTTTTAGACAAAAAAACAACAGATGTTGATAAGGATGTGGAAAAAAGGGAAAGCTTATACATTGTTGCTGAGAATGTATGCTGCAACCTCTACAGAACTACCATTCAATCCAACAATCCCACTGCTGGGTATCTACCTGAAGAAAGAGAAATCATTCTACCAAAATGGTATCTACATTTGTATGTTTCCTGCAGCACTATTCACAATAGCAAAGATACAGAATCAACCTAAATGTCCATCAGCAGATGACTGGATAAAGAAAATGTGCTGTGTATGCCATGGAATACCACTCAGCCATAAAAAAGACAATAAAATTATGTCTTTTGCAGCAACATGAATGTAACTAGGGGCCATTATCTTAAGTGAAACAACTCAGAAACCGAAAGCCCAATACCACATGTTCTCACTTCCGAGTGGGAGCTAAATAATGTGTACTCATGGACATGAAGTGTGGAAACAGACCATGGAGACTTGGAAGGGTTGGAGGGGGCTGAAGGATGATAAGTTACTTAATGAGTACATGTATGCTATTTGGGTAATGGTTAAACTAAAAGACTAGACCACCACCACTTAATATACCAGTGTGTGAAAAGCTGCACTTGTACCCACTAAATGTAAATGAGAAAAAATTTCCTTTTAGCTAGAAAAGAGACTAAGGTAGAGAACATTTCAATGGGTGAATATACACAGACATACATGCCTACTCTACCTAAATTGTATAGTCCAGGGCAGTGGTTGGCAAACTATGGCCCATGAGCCAAACTGGGGCCAGTTCCTGTTTGAATACAGCCTGTGAGCCAAGAATAACTTACATTTTCAAATGGTTGAAAAGTAATAAAAAGGAGAATACTTTGTGACATAAGAAAATTATATGAAGTTCAAATTACAGTGCCCATAAATAAAGTTTTATTGGAACACAGCTGCACCTATTCATTGACATATTATCTACAGTTGTTTGCATACTACAATGGCAGAGGTGAGTACTTCTAACAGAGATTGACTATATGAATCAAAAAGCCTAAAATATTTATTAACTGGCCATTAACAGAAAAAGTTTGCCAACCAGTAGTGTAAGGTTTATATTTATTATATTCAATATTATAGTAACAGAAGCATTACACTTCATATTCTATTTGATATTCACATATTAATATTAAGGAGTATTAAGCCTATTATTTTAAAAGATCACAATGAAAAACTGGGAAAAGTCAGAGTATCTAGTAATCAATGAGTGGCTAAAGTAGGGGCATTCATAAAATGGAATATTATATCACCAGCATAAAGTATAAGATAAATCTATATTAGCTAACTTTGAAATATGCGCAAGAAATAAAAAGTGAGAAAACAGGTCTCAAAGACATACTATATACGTATAAATTATAATCAAATTTTTGTTAAGATATGCATACATGTATATCCCTAGAAAATTTCTGCACAGGGCTTATCTCCGATAATGGGAAGGTGGCAAGCAGGGGAAAATTTAATGTTCTATACTTCTGAACTGCCCATATTTTTACAGTGAGCATGAATTAGTCTGTAATTTTTAAAAGGCACCCAAAACTACCAGCTTTATATGGTTCTTTACATGTAATGTTCCTAAAATTAAAAGTTAGTTTCATGCCCAGTAACTCCACTTAAAGTAAAAATGCTAAAAGTGGTTTGGATTTAGATACCAGTTGCAATGCAAACACTGCGGGGGCAAGAGATTTCCTTCCCCCTCAGAAAGTTTTCTGATCTAACCATGCTCCTTTCTAAATTAAAGTGGAGATCTGGATGCCTCTGAATTAGAATCTCCACTTTAGCTGTCCAGAGGAATACAGAGATGGGGTTCTCTCCCTACACTCAGGACATCAACTCCTCAATGTGGCAAGAGACGACCCAATCATTGAGGCCAGTTTTGACCACATGGGGGTGTCAGTGCTCAGGTTTCGCCCCATGCTCTCCTGCTCAAGAAAAAGCCTAGAGGGAAGAGGCCAACCTTCCGTCTGCTGGGGCTGCTGCTGCTGCTGCTGTTGCTGCTGTTGCTGCTGTTGTTGCTGCTGCTGCTGCTGCTGCTGCTGCTGCTGCTCAAGCTGCTTCTTCCGCTTGGCTTCTAGAACTGGATTTTCATACTGTGTCTTCCTGTTGATGTGGCTGGGGAAGACAGCAAATAGTATTCAGCTTGGAAACACTTCATCCCACCAGCAAAATGCCAATTTGACCAAGTCCCTGGATTCAAACTAAGCAGAGCAGGTGGTCTGAAATGCTAACCCTCATGTGTTAAAATGCCCAGTTAGAAAGAGGAAATAAAAATGAGAGGTTTCCATTACTGACTGCTTATATGCACTAAGCACTGGGCCACAAGTTTTACATGCATTTTATTTAAAACTCCTCAGTAAATGCCAGGAGGTAAGTCCTATTTTTATTCATATCTTATAAATAAGGAAAGTAAGTTTCTGGGCAGTTAAATGATTCACCAAGCATAATATAGCTAGTAGGCAGTAAACAGGCATGCAAGCTCAGGGTTGTTTGCTTTCAGATCCCAGAATTTTAACCACTGACCCCTTCAAATGTCCAAGATACCACCTGACAGGGGAAGCTGCTTTAATTCAACAAGAATTAGATTAAGGAATTATTGAGAAATAAGATTAAAGTGGCTATGTGACATTCTCTGTAACATACAATGCCAGAACTGCTGTGTAGCTGTCTAAAGTAGGGTTCACAGAAGCATAAACAGTCATCCAAACAATGAAGTTAAACAAAGAACTCTACTCACATCTGTTAACTATTTTGATCACTAAACATGGAGGCACAAATAAAAGTACAAGCCTTAGGCAGAGAGACTCCAAATAGAGTTAACCTAAGTAGATGTGATGTGTTCAAAATGACAAAGATCCAAACACTTAGATGTCTACAAAAATAATTAGGCCGTGTATGACAAATTGAAAAATACACACACATACACACACCTGTACATATGCATACATATACAAATTTGTTTTTTGCTATGGCCTTATTTAGTGTATGTACATGTATGTATGTATACATGTATGTGTGTATACATATGTATACATATGTACATGTGTGTATACACACACAACACAAACATAATACAAGCATATACATATATCTTTCTTTATTTCTTTGTTTTTTGAGACACAGTCTCTCTCTATCACCCAGGCTGGAGTGCAAAGGCACCATCTTGGCTCACTGCAACTTCCATCTCCTGGGTTCAAACGATTCTCCTGCCTCAGCCTCCCGAGTAGCTGGGATTACAGGCATGTGCGACCATACCTGGCTAATTTATTTATTTTCAGTAGAGACAGGGTTTCACCATGCAGGCCAGGTTGGTCTCAAACTCCTGACCTCAAGTGATCCACCTGCCTTGGCCTCCCAAAATGCTGGGATTATAGGAGTGAGCCACCACGCCCAGCCTTATTTTACTTAACTCAAAATAACAGTTTATTAGACGTTTGGGAGCATACTACTGTGATTATTTAGTACTCCAAGTTTTATAAAAAGCAAGGCCTTACTTTTTTAAGCAGGCTTACCAAACAGAATGGATAGATTGATTGCTCTTAATTTTTATTAAAGGCCTACATGTTTATTTCCTAATTCTTGTAGCAATTTCATTCTAAGAAATAGTCTACCATTAACAGGCACATGAATCTGAAAAGACACACAGAGAACTGTATGGTAAGATAACAACTTGCCCCTCAAACTAGTGTCTTCACCCACCAAAGCTTTTGTCATCTGTTTCTGCTCTCTCCTAATGCATAAAATAGTTGAGGGGGACAATTCAAAATGAGCTTCAAATAGCAAAAACCCCATAGTACATCTGTGAGAAAGATGATTTTTGGGACACACAAAAGAAATTAATTATCAGAGGGTCAGAGAAACAGCCAACTTTGCCTCTCTGATGCCCCTTATTGCCAATCCCTCTTTTTAGGCAAAGTGGAGATAAAAGTTAGTATTGGCCAAGGATACTTGCTATATTGAACCCATGATTTTTACAATAAGATGCTGGACATTTATTTTGTGGCCTGGTACTCTTTGCATCTTATGTTCACATCACTGGAGTATTATACAAATGACTTTTCATTACCAGCAGAATAAGGAAAATATAACAGTTACATCTTCAGTGTGGCTGGTAGGATTATATTTCTACATTTATATGGCATTTGCTTCTTTCGAAGGAACTTTTATTAGTTACATCTCATCTTTCTAAGAGGAAACTATATAATATAAAGCTTTATTTTTTCCAATGTCCTAACCTCTAGGTTTCTTTTAGTATCATCCTATTAATCAATAGTTCCGATCAAAGGAAAAAGTGGGAGCCCAATGCTAGAATAAGGCACACAATAAAAAAGTCACGAGGTTTTTAGACTTTTAAAAACGGGAAACAAGAGCCTCAGGCAAGAGAGAAATAAACACACATAGTCTGCAGCTTAGGCTAGTTTTCCATTTCCTCCTCAATCCTGGCAACATTTCATAAATTATTAAGATTTGCCTGAACCTTTTAGAATGTATGAATGAATAAAGAAGTAACTGCTAAGGAGTTCAGATCTGGGCAGAGCAAAAAGTAGACAAATCAGATACTGCTTGTGAAGACAAATAATCCCTCTTCATATGGTCTACTGAATCCTTGTTTTTCTCATTCATTCATTCAACTAATACTCATTAAGTACCTGCCATATGCCAGGACCATGTTGGGCCTTTGTGATGCAGTGGTAAACAAAAGCCATGAATCCTGCCCATGTTAATTTAATAATATGATTTGCTATTTTCAGATTTACTGAATATTTTCCTATTCATTAAAATATGCATACATATTTTCATCATAAAATTAGTATTGTTATTTGGTTTGTACCTTATAATAACGGTAAGCTGTTCTTAACACAAATGTACATAATTATAGAGAGGTATAAACTAACGTGTGGATTGTGAATGGGCACTTACTCTACATAGTAGATACCATAGACAGGGTCTTCGATCTTTTCCCAACCAGCAGGCAGTTCTGAAAAACAGAAGAACATTTAGAGCTAGAAGAGCATATTCTTGAAGAGCCTGAGTATCTTCAACAATTGAGTTAGGCAAAAAGAGAAAGACTCATAAGAATGCCTTAAATCCAATTAAAACTGTATATCCTAACAACAGAAAAAGTATATTATTTTATCAGTGTATTTTTCTATATGAAGAGCAATTTTTTATCTATTGGTATTTTATGCAAGACAATAAAACTTAATAAAATGCAGTCCCAGATGCCTTTATTCTAAATCAAGATTAAATTAGATTTTAATGAAAATATAGGTTAAACTTGCTTTGAATGCCTAGCTCCTATAGTAAATGTTTACGGTTTTCTCATTTTGTTTCTAGGTCATCTTATTACACAAGCAAAACTGGATGAAAATTAATGTTTCTTTTCATTTCCAATACAACAGTGCTGCTTTGCTCTCCTTGAAATAAAATAAAATCCGCATCTTATTTTCTTCTTGTTCCTAACAAAAATGGAGTTGCATTTTTGAACTGCACACATCTATCACTCAATTGCTATCTTTGAGCTGGCCCATCTTTCCCAGCACTTACCTATGAAAGCAGTAACAGAGCTCCTGATGGCTGAGAGCTCACTATCTAAGGTAGACAATTTTTTTCCTTTAAATGTGGTGGTAAAGTGGCACTGGGAGATGTATGTGCCTTTCTGAAAATTCAATGATGCTCTACAGAACTTCCTAAGGTTTCATATCAAAGGCCAAAACTCTATTAAGAGGTAATAGTTCTGATTGAACAAGAATCTGATGTGGAAAGGCCCACTGCACCATGTTATTTTACTTGGTGCAAGAAGCAACTAGACTGTGGGGGGTTTTTTGTCATTAAACAATCCTTTCAGGCAGAGCAACAATTATCCAACTTAATTTTAAAACTAACCTGATATATGTAGTCAAGGCAAACTTATGTAATACCACACTCTAAAGTGAATAATTAGTCCTAGAAGTGCTATTAAGACCAACTTGGATAGAATACTACAAACTTGAAATATTTGAAATAGATTTTTGTTTAATTGAAGGAATCATGTGATCTCTAATTTAAATAATGATCATGTCATCAGGGCAGAAGGCTTACATATGCCACACACAGTTCCAGACTGAGGTGGAGGCACGCACATGCACATAAACACATACAGACTAATTACTCAAAGTTTATGTTGTGTTCAGATTTGGCTGTACATCAAGAGACATTAATTTCATGGTTTTTGCTCCACGTTACTTGTTTGCAAACAAAGAGACAGGTTTCCCCCTCTTTCTTCTAAATTAAAAAGAAAAAAACATTTAGCAGGTTTTAAAGAAGTCTTTGACTTGTAAGAGACATAAGCTGCTAAAATGCAAGACAGGTCTAATTTGCAGATGTTGCTATAACTTGGCATTTTTATAAACCGAGTCTTGTGGACCGATGCAAATTAAATGCCTGGGAAATGCTTTCCCCTTACAAAGCTGGAAATTACCATTTAAATGAAAATGAACCAGGAAAATATTTCCAAAGAGTTGAGAACTCAAAGATTAAAAAAATGCAAAGTGTTGCACAGTCATACATTTTGTATAGGGCAGAATGGTGGGTGGATGTGAGGGGATCACATTCAGTTTTACAGAAATAACATCTCTTTTCAAACTCTGCAACCTGAAATATGTGGCCTGATTATCTTTAGATAAAACGGGAAATATTAAGCATTCAAGTTACTCAATTATTAATTTGACAAACATTTGTTGAATGCCTACTGTTTGCCTCAGGGTGTGCAGGCACCAGGGACACAAAGATAAATGCAAACACATCATCTAAGCAGAAAATTCAGCCTCCTGGTATGTGCTTTGATGGAGGTCTGAGGAGAGTACTAGAAAAGAAGGTACCTGTGACTTCTTTCCTGGTTCCTAGTCAACAACTTAATAATCTAGAGTTGAAAAAATGGGGCCAGTCAACTGGCATCTCTGGACATTTGTCAGTTTAAACACATCTTTTGGAACAGATGAGCAAACTTCAGAAATTGAAAAGACAGTTTCTTACTTCCAAGGTGGTGATTAACTTAATCATAGAAATTAGTTTCCTAATGCTTAAAATAGAAATGGGTCATTCATTTTAAATAGGAAGATGTTTGTCCCAGAAGTTGCCATTTCGTTCTAAAAAACTGAAGAAGGCATAAAATATTTAATTCCAGAAAATAATGACATTATAATTTTTTAAGCAAATACTCTAAAGACTTAAAAAAAGCCATCTCCTATGACTACTGACAGTCAGAGCAAATTAGACTGCACAACCTACCACATTGATTTGAGGTGGCTGAGACCCTTTTGGCATTGCCCAGATTTAAGACTGACCCTTAGTTCTTTCATTTATCTCTACTACTCTCTGTGGCCTTGGGCTACTCACTTACTATCTCTGAACCACATCTTTCTTATGGGTTTGCCTCAAAAGTCAATGGTGGATTAAATGAGGATACTTCTAAACACTTAGCATGGTTCCTGGCACATAGAAAGTGCCCAAGAAATGGCAGCTGTTCCAGGAAAGCACAAAAGGCGTAAGACAGATATCTGTGGCCTGTGTACTTGCTACTCCTGCCTCTGAAAACCTCATGCTGCACTATTTTGTTTCCACAGAGCAAATACTGAGCACTTAAAGTTTCTAAGTTCTTTTCAAAAGAGATTTGTCTGTGTATAGATTGAAAATCATGTTCAAAATCAGAGATACATTTCAAAACTGTGACTTAGTTTTGGTTGGGAGAAGCGTTTATTTTCTTGGCTCTATCTCCTGTAGTTGGTTTCACCACACGAATACCCTATAATTCCAAAAGCAGGTTCTGCAGGTGCTTTTTAATTCTGGGGAGATGTCTGAAGAGGACGTGATAAATTCTGCGAACCAAAGTACATAATGGATCAACTGACCCAGTTCAAACAACAGAGTTCAGAAATGACAACTCTATAATCAAATGATCTGTGTCCAACACCAAAGCCAACTGCCCACGCCTCCCAGAGGCAGATTACAAAGAGGGTTTCCTTATCACATCTGGAACTTCATTGTTCGCTGAAAACCTGACAGTTGCTATTGTTTGAAATTAGGACCCTCTTATTAAGAAAATGAGCAGTGAGCTTGTCAACAGAATCTGGAGTGAATGCAATAGAAAACAGTGTGTGTGCATGTGTGCTACTCTTTACAAAGTGAATATGTGCAGACAAAAATCAAGGCTTTATCCCTACCCTACCTACAAGAACACATTTGGGCCATTTCTATAGTATAGAACACATTCCTCCCTTATGCTGTGTTAATGGAAAATAGTATCATAAGGAAGTACTGAAAAGTCCAAGAAGAGGGAATTAGGTAATAAATAGCAAAACTGCAAATAGCCAATAGCATGTGCTGATCACAGGAACAAATACTAAAACATGCTCTCATTAAGTCACCTCATAAGCACCATGGGAGCTCCTTTTTTGGCCCCTCTTTATGGATATGGAAAAGGAAGCTAAAAGAAAGTGAATAGGTTGTCTAAGGTTGCATAGCCAGTAAATGGGGGAGCCAGGCAGCTTGATCTGAACCCAGAGAAAGCCAAGGGAACTAATGTTTAGAGTCTTTAACAGCATAAGAAAGTTCCACGATATCACAGTGACATGTGGGTAAAATGCAGAAACTTCGTTCCTGGAAAATTTCAAATTCAAATTTCCAGAGAAGCAAATAAGGTTGTGCTCCTGTACACAGCTGTGCTATCTCCACTGGCTGCCAGCCGACAGCAGAATGATCTCTCGCAATGGTAGCAAGAGTGGTTGAAATTGGCTGAACAAATGATTAAGACATTCATTTTGTGTCTGGAAAACCTAGTTCTGTCTCTTTCAATTATTTTATCTAATATCATTGTATTGACAAATTCTTTTTTCAATCAAATTAGTTTCAAATTATTCTATTACTCAGGGTGAACCTCAAGTCGTTCCTCTCACAATAACCACAAAGACAACTTATTAAACATCTTTAAAAACAGATCACAGTTATCGACCATTGTCATATGTATCAATTACAACAGGGTATGTTACAAACATTAAGAAAAACAGAGCTTGGATCTATTCTATCATAATTCTAGCCAACCATGACTGATTATGTAACAAAAATAAAGAAAACCAAATGAAAACAATGTATTAAAAAGATTTATATTTTCAGGTTTTGAGGCAATCTCAAAAATGCCAGGCAGATTCAGTAGTATTAGTACAGTTCCACTCATATTGATGTTAAACAATCTTCTACTTAAACAATCTTCAGTTGCTAAAGAATCTTCCATCAGTCGAGGCTTTCATCTGCAATTTAGCTGAAATTTATACTTTCCTATCTATCCATCAGCAAATGTATCAGATGGAATGCAAACTAATTTTAATATAGTTCAAGACTGAATATAAAGCACTGAACTTAATAGGGAACATAATTCAATATATTCCAACAACAAAGAAACAAGAATTTGGCATCATCGCTAATATAAATTATTCCTAAAGAACAATAGCTAGAGTAGTGAAGACTTGATTTACACTGACACAACTCTAAGAAAAACAGTACACATAGATGCTGCATCATTATATAAACAACCACTCACTATAATGGCAAGGTCAACCACATGTGGTCTGTGACGTAATAACAACATGATCTTAAGACTTAACTATTCAATTCCTCAGTGACCTTCTTTTATTGCAAGTGCTCCTATAATGCTCCTTAAATTAGTCTCATGGATTTTTGTTTGTTCTGCTTGGCATTTTTGTATTACTCAAATAACCATCCGCACTAAACCAATAAAGAAATAAGACTGAGACAGGTTACATGAAAGTTCAAGGAACACAGTGAGCATCTCTTTAGTTCTTTCCCAATCCTCAATTTACAACACTACCTATCGCCAATTTGCTAACTCTCATTCTAGTCTCAGTTCACTCAGACATTTTCTTTGTAAACATAATGTATTACAACTCTGCGTGATGCCTGCAGTCAGACATGGAGGTTGTAAGACTGACCTTTCCTGGACAAGCTAGAAAGAAAATCATAATTGGAGGAGTGCAAACTAAAGAAACAGGGATTAAGCAATTCACTGGGAAAAAACCATGCAGTCCATGTCATGCACGTGTCATACAGCAGCAGCAGGCAGGGAAGGTTTACCTAGTTCACTGTCCAGCTCCTCGGTGTGTACCCCTTCTTCTCCAAAGGAATAGCAGGGATGAGGCAGAAAAGAGAGAAAGCAAAATTCAGACACCAGCACCAAGAAAGGAAATCTCAGGAAAACAGCAGCAAACACATCACTCTTTTTTGTCCTTACCTGCATTGTGGCTTATTTCATTGGCTTGGCTAGTGAACTTGCAACCTCAGTGTAAATTACAAAACGGGAAGAGCTGATATTGGCAAAATAATTATATGGCTCATTTCCTAGCATGTCAAAATAGGATTTGATTGGTTGTAAAAGATGACAAATACCTTTGCGGTTTCAATGTTCTTAAGTGGGAAGTCATTTATTACAGACCTTATTGAGAGTAAACAAAGCTGTTAGACCTTTCAATATCAGTTCTTTTAATCCTTCAATAATCCTCTAATCAGTAAGGCAATTATACTCACAATTATAGCATTATTTAACTTACAACTAACAGTGCTGCTTGAAAAATGGAAGGTGAGGTCAAATTGAGAATGCAGAGTGTATAATGAGCTAAGTTTGATGTCTTTCAAAAAGGAGCTAGAAAGATGAATTACGTCAAGATGAAATATATCAAGGAAGCAAGTCTTGAAAGCTTCCCTGAAGGAGTGTTGGGAAAAAGTGTTTTACTGGTTTTGTGAACACACACACGCACACAAGCACACACGTACATGCACTCTAAGTCAAGCAGCTCATAAATATTAGAATTAAAATGTCCTCAAAAATTTCAGTGAGCAAAACAAGTCAAAATCCTTTCCATTCTTGATCTCCTCTTGCTGTCAGTAAAATATTTTAACATTACTGAGAAGAAAACACAGGAGAGCACACAAAAATCATTTCATACATAATATTTCCCCAGCTACAGGGCAAGTGGCTCCTGTAAGCTTCACAAACACAGGGATGAAGTCTGTTTTCACCACCACCATAGGCTCAGTGCCCAGTGTAGCTTTCTGCACATGTTATGTACTAAATATTTCTTGATGAATGAATGAGTGAACCAATCAATGAATGAATGACCTAAATAACCAAAATGGGCCTAGACACCTTGTAAACTCTTGATTTAAAAATAATCCCACTGCCAACAGTAAGTTTTGATTGGCACCTTTTCTTAAAAGGAGAATCTGATTTTCACAAAGTCATCTGTGAAAATGCCCATTTGGATATTATCTAATGTCTTTGGGAGCATTTGTTCACTTCTTCAGTAGTTACTTAACAAGACCTATGATGTGCCACTGTGCTAAGTGACAGACATGTCAAAATGAACACAATCAGGGTCCAGGTGCAGTGGCTCACACCTCTAATTCCAGCCCTTTGGGAGGCCAAAGTGGGTGGATCACCTGAGGTCAGGAGTTCCAGACCAGCCTGGCCAACATGGTGAAACCTCAACTGTACTAAAAATACAAAAATATTAGTCAGGCGTGGTGGCACTTGCCTGCGATCACAGCTACTTCAGAGGCTGAGGCAGGAGAATCACTTGAATGGGGAGGCAGTGGTGCCAGTGAGCCGAGATAGTGCCACTGCATTCCAGCCTGCATAACACAGGAGGGACTCCAGCTCAAACGCACATGCACGCGCGCGCACACACACACACACACACATCTCTAGTTTTCCAGAACAGGGGACAAATCCAAAGCTCACACAAATAAAACGAAAAATAAAACCATGATAAGTTCTCAATAGAGTAAGCTACATGAGTGACCTAATCATATCTTTGGGGGCAAAATGAAGGAAAAATTCCCTGAAGTACAACCTGAAGGATGTGCAAAGTTTAATGTCTGTTATATCATTGACACATTTGAAATACCTAGGATGCACCTGACATATAGAAAGTATTCGATAACTATTGTGAAATATAAGAGTATCCTAAGAGAGAAATATGCACATTTAACTGACATGAGGGAGGAACTCAATGAGGACTAGTAGGGATGAAGAGCAGAAAGCAGAGAAATAGTGTGAGAAAATTTAGAGAGGCTGACCACACAGGGCTCAGAGAAGCAAGCTATGGACCTGGCATTTCCTAAGCAGACCCTGTGGAGGTTGTCAGAGATAACATAATCATATTTACATTTTAAAAGACTGCTCCCAGTGTAACATAAAAAGGAGAGTGAAAAGAATCTGTATGGGAGATGAGCATGACCCCAGATGAAAATGGCAGATGTGGCGAAAAAAATAGTGAATGGATCCCAGGGATATTTAGGATGCCAAGTGAATTCAGCTGGTTCACAAGTTAGAAATAGGTGTGAAGAAAAGTGACAGATCAAGGGGGGATTTTGAGTATGCATAAATTTACCATGAATGGAGACAGGAAACATTTAGAGAGGACCAGATTTGGGGGGAAAGATCATAAGTTTGGTTTTAATATGACTGAGTCTGAAGTCTCTGAGAAAACCAGCTGACATTATCAATTAAGTGGATTAAAATATTGGCCTGGAGTTCAAAGGCAAGGTTGAGGACTGCTAACTGAATCGGACACAGCAATGACAGAAGGAGTCATTCACTAACAGAGAACAGAAACAAATACAGGCACAATATTTGCGAACAATATGTTTTTCTGCTTTGTGTTATAAACACAATAACAAGGCAGCTTTGCATTAACTGGCAACAGAAAATACAAACTGATACTTATAATCTGATTATATGTTTATACTGTTTGTGTGTACAGGCACACAGATATACATAGAATTTCTACCAGAAATAGAATATGTGAATTCTAATATTAAAGAGATAATTACTAAACTAACTGCATTTGATATGAATACATTCTTGTTCCAAAGGAAATAACATTAACACAAAAGAATTTTAAGAATTAAAAATTACCAGATTTGGTAACAAAATGTTAATTCCACTCAATATTTTTACTCTACATAGAGTTTTTCTCAGTAAAAACTATTGCAGTATTCTATGATTTATAAAATTGTATCAACAGGCATTTTTATACATTCCCAGAATAATTACAAAAAGGATATTGACATTGAAAACCCTATGGTAATAAGTGCCTAAATTGCTTTCAAAATCATAGGGCAACAAATAATGAATAAATCATTGTTCCACGAAGTTTTAGGGTTGAATGTGTTTTATGTTCTGATCTTTGAAAATTAGTTATTTATGTGCAGGTTGAGTAGTCCTTATCCAAAATGGTCAGAATCAAAAGGGTTTCAAATTTTTCATATTTTCAGATTTGGAGATACTTGTGTAATATACTTACTGGCTCATCATTCCTAATCCGAAAACACGAGCTCCAAAATGCTCCAGTGAGAATTTCCTTTGAGCATCATGGCAATACTCAAAAAGTTTTGGATTTTGGAGCATGTTGTTGTTTTGTTCATTTCTTTTAAGACAGGGTCTCTCTCTGTTACCCAGGCTGGAGCGTAGTAGCACAATCATAGTTCTCTGCAACCTCGACCTCTTGGGCTCACATGATCCTTCTGCCTCAGCCTCCCAAGTAGCTGGGACCACAGGTACATGCCAACACGCCCAGCTAATTTTTATTTTATTATTTGTAGACTCAAGGTCACACCATGTTGCCCAGGCTGGTCTCGAACTACTGGGCTCAAGTGATCCTCCCGCCTCAGCATCCCAAAGTTCTGGGATTACAGGTGTGAGCCACACTGTGTCTGGCCAATTTTGGAGCATTATGGACTCGAATTTTGGGATCAGGGATACTCAACAAGTATCATATGTTCAACAGAATACTGAAATAATCAGCACAGTCCATTCTCTCACAAGCATGCAAAATACCAGGGCTGACTGAACCTGTTCCATTCCTTCTTCAGGAATTAAACAAAGCAACCAAAATAAAACAAGATTACTGGTCATGTCTTCTAAGTTAGAAGGGCTTGTATTTCCATTGGAAATAACTCAGATAAATACCGACACAATATTCTATGTCATTTAATGTAATCTGCAAACCATGTATAATAGCAGGATCATGAAGTAGAAGGTTTTGACAGTATTACACTTTTAAAAACTGCCTTGCATTTTCAAAAAATCTTCAAGCTTACATATACAACAATTCTTCACTATAGGACAAATTACTAAGTTCTGTTATCTTACAGTAAAATACATATTTAATAATTATACTATCAATTCACACGCCAGAACTGAATAATGAGTAGCAAAGCAAAGCAAACCATTTCCCTTTTCATTCTTCCACATCAAAAAGTAATTTTGGTAGAACTTGGTATAGATGTCTGTGTAATGAAAAAGGGATACACTAGCTCTGTTTTACTTTATTTTATCTTTTTCACTTTGGAGCAGTAATTACAAAACCCAAAACCTTGTAATGAACTTTTCAACAAAAGCTCTTACAGCCAGTTAGTTCATTTCCAAGATTCATAGGGAGAGTGGTGCTCTATGCAACACTTCAAATTCTGTCTCAAAAGAATACACTTATATATTGTGGGTATACTGTAAGTTACACAGAGATTCTCAAACATGTCTAGATCTGTTTCCCCTACCTCCAAGTCTAGGGAAGTAATAGAGTTATGAAATATGTAGAGTTCAAGAAAAACTCCCAACCTTTCCCCCCTAAGACTTTTATAAGATAGGGTTAAGGTTGAGAATGTGTGAGTAACCAGAGCATCTTTGGTTTCTGTATTCCTAGGGAATTTCTAAAATGTTCTCTAACTTCCTGAAGACAGAGGATGTATCTTCATTTGAATAGTTTCTGACTGTTCTGCTTCTAATGGAGATATTAGTATGCATCTGTCTTTACAGTATGTGCAAGCAAATTGCTCTCTTGAAACAATTCTGACTTTCCTCCTGCTTTTGTAAATGAAAGTCCATTTAGCAGAAATTGGATTACCTTTTGAAAACTCAATCTAAGACCCGACTGACCTGTCTACGACTCTAAAATTTGCACATGTGAACACTGCCCCCCATTCACTTAACCCAAGACCTGTCTGGCCCCTTACCATCATCTTCACACTCTTCCAGAGGCTTCTGCTGCTTGTTCAGGCACCGAGGGTCTAACCAAGAAGTTGTTTTCGTGTTATGGCTACAATCCAGAAACAAAAATAAGAAATTTGTTTAAAAAAAAAAAAAAAAAAGCAAGGAGCCCAAAGACAGAGTTACACACTCTTGAGTATTTCTTCCTTAACCACAGCAAAGATACTTTCCAACAGCAAATCCAAAGCAAAAGAAAGCCTGAGTTTAGATTATAAATGGCTTGGGGAAGGTCTTGGGTAGGCTTTTTACTTACCTAATATGTGATTATTCAATTACTCAAAGCTTAAAAAGTAATAACAGTTTTATCTTTGAAATACAAGTTACAAATGATACCCCTTGTCTATACCATCTACCCTTGTCTAGGTTATTTTAGTCTTTGCATTTGCCACAGGGAAAACTTCAATTTATTTTAAATTTGTCTCTGATTTGAATCTTGGATGGTGAAACTCACAAAGAGGGCTGCCATTTCACTCATCATATTACACAAGAATTCTCATGACAGCATGAAACTACCTTAACTCACATAAATGACTCAAAACTACTAATACACATCATTAAATCATGGTGTCCTAAATTATGCTATGGACATAAAGAAGGCAGCCCCAAATTACTTGTCATAAATAGAATCTGGGCTCTGTTTTATTTTATTTTATTTTTTTCATTTTGGAGAATTAGAAAACCCAAAACCTTGAAACGGAGAGGCTAAACATGTCACTCAACTGCCTTCTAAGGAGTATATTTCAATTCTAGATGAAGTATTTCAACAGATGGTGACTGGGGCTCTGCAGATCTGATTGTGTAGAGACACATTCCCAAAGATATCACCATTCAATCATGTTAGAAATGTCACCAGAATGGCTGTAAGCATTCAGCCTTTGTGCTTCCCAAAGCAATGGCTAGGACAAAGTTCTGCTTGAACCCCCAGGATACCATGCAGCTAAGTGGGTGGGGCAAACAACTCCAGCCCAGTAGTTCTGGCTAAAAACTAGCATGAAAGCAAGAAATTTTTTTAAAATTAAGTTTAGACAGTAACTTAAAACTTTTTTTGAACTCTGACATTTCAGTTGTAAATTTGGGAGTTGGCAGGGCAGAGGGGTTGCCAAAGTTCTTTATTATTGATTCTAATCTTATTAATTGTTAAAAAAAATATGGCTTAAGAGAAAAACAGAATGTGCAAATGTATACACGTCTTGGCAACTGTGTTAAAAGAAAAATAGCAAAAGGTAATATAGCAACCACCACCATCACCACCACCAATGCTACTTATGTGAACACATATGACTGCCAGAATCTGTTCTTTTACATGTTAAAATTTATTTAATACTTACAATAACACTATGAGAGTAGTATTATTAGCATTAAAATTATTGCTCCCTGTATTAAAAATGAGAAAACTGATAATAGAAAGGTTAAGCAATTTGCCTAAGGACACTCTGCTGAGACATCACAGAACTGGGAACTAAACCCAGAGAGTTTTGCACTAAAAGCCATAGCCTGCACTATTCCTACACAGTAAGATAGTAAAAATGATCATTGCTGGGGAGGAGATGATGCATGATTAAGAAAAAAACTGTGTTTTTATTACGGTTTTTCATTCAGCGTAATTTTCATCAAGATTGTTATATATATCAATAACGTAGATTCACATGTAGTTAAAAGAACAGAGAGATTTCATGTACCCTTTACCTATATCTTATCAATGATAACATCCTGCAAAACTATAGTACACCATGATAACTTGATACAGTCAAGATACAAACATTTTCATTAGCACAAGGGTCCCTCAGGTTGCCCTGGTATAGTCATACCTGCTTCCCTTCCAACCATTCCCCCCAACACTTTTCTTAATCCCTGATAACTATGAATCTATCCTCTATTTCTGTAATTTTGTCATTTCAAGAAGGTTATATAGGGTGGGCGCAGTACTGCTTGTAACCCCAGCACTTTGTTCGGAAGGCCCTGGCAGGCGGATCACTTGAGCTCAGGAGTTTGAGACCAGCCTGGGCAATGTGGTAAAATGCCACCTCTCCAAAAAATACAAAGAAAATTAGCCAGGTATGGTGGTGGGCTAGCCAGGTGTGGTGGTGTGCGCCTGTGATCCAAGCTACTCAAGAGGCTGAGGTAGGAGGATCACCTGAGCCCAGGAGACAGAAGTTGCAGTGAGTAGAGAATGTGCCATTGCACTGTAGGCTGGATGACAGAGTGACACCCTGTCTCAAAATAAAATAAAAATAATTTTTAAAAGAATGTTATATAAATGGAATCACTGTATGTGATACTTTATGACTGACTTTTTGACTCAGCATAATTCTCATCAAGATTGTTATATACAACAATAATCAATTCTTTCTGTTGCTGAGTAGTATTCCATGGAAAGAATGTATCACAGCCTGTCTAACCACTCAAAGACATCTGGATCATTTCTAGTTTTTGGCTAGTTGGACAGATTTGCTATAAACGTTCATGTACATGCTTTTGTGTGAATTGTTCACTTCTCTGTGTACCACTGCTGGATGGTATGAGCTGCATGTTTAGTTTCTTAGGAACCATTTTCTAGAATGCCAGACAATCCCACCAGCAATGGATAAGAGATCCAGTTTCACTTAAATTTTACCATCACTTAGTGTTGTCATCATTTTTTACTTTAGCCATCTTAATAGGTGAATGACATCTCATTGTGGTTTTCATTTCAATTTCCCTAGAGCTAATGGGGCTGAACTTTTTTTAAATGTGCATATCTGCCATCTATATACCCTTTTCAGTGAAACATCTGTCCCTCTGTCCCTGTCTTGAGTTCACATTCTAACTGAATGGTTTGCATTTTTTTTTTATTCCGGAGTTTTGAGAGTCGTTTATATATTCTATATACGAGTCCTTTTTAAAATGCAGGGTCTGCAAATATTTTCTCTGTAGTTTGTTCTTTCATTCTCTATCAGGCTTTTTCACAAATAAAACAATTTTCATTTTGATGGTGTCGAATTTATCATTTTTTCTTTTTCAGGGATCTTGCTTTGATGTCTCTTTGCCTAGCTCTATATTTGGAAAATTTTCTGTTTTTTTGTTTCCCTAAAGGTTTTATTGCTTTATGTTTTCCATTTCAGTCTCTGATTTATTTGGGTTTAATTTTTTTGTATAAAGTGTGGGGTTCAGGTTGAGGTTAGGTTGCATACCGCCGGTTGTCCACTTGCTCCTCAACCATTTACTGAAAAGGCTATCTCCCCTCCATTGGACTGCTTTCAAATTGAATTGCTTTTGTCAAAAATCAGTTGGGCACACTTGTGGATCTATTTCTGGGTTCTATCTTCTGTCCCATTAAATTATGATTCTATTCCTTCACCAACACCACACAGTCTTTATTTTTTTGACTATATAATAAAGCCACAATAATGTAAATTAGCACATTTGATATCAAGCAGACTAATTGCTATGACTTCATTCTTCCTTTTCATAATTGTTTTAGTTATTCTATTTCCTTTGCCTTTCCATTTATATTTTAGAATAAACTTGTCTGTATCTAAAAAAAGACTGAGATTTTGACAGAAATTACATTAAACCTGTATATCCATTTGGGGAGGACTGACATCTCTATCAATTCTGAGTCTTCCTGTCTGTCCATGAATACAGTATGTCTCTCCATTTATAAGGAACTTCTTTGACCTCTTCCATTAGCATTTTAGATCCAATACATGTTTAGTTAGATTGACAACTGTGTTATTTTTTTGAGCAACTTTAAATTATATTTTATTTTTGATTTTAGTGTCCAAGTGCTCATTGATAGTATGTAGATATACACTTAATTTTTATTATTAAATTTTAAGTTTTTGTGGGTACATAGTAGGTGCATATATTTATGAGATGTAGAACATATGGATACAGGATACAATGTGTAATGATCCCATCAGGATAAATGGAGTGACCACTTCCCTCAAGCATTTATTCTTGGTGTCACAAACAATCCAATTATATTTATGTAGTTATTTTTAAATGTACAATGACATTATTATTGACTATAGTCACACTGCTAAGCTATTAAATACTAGATCTTACTTATTCATTCGTTCTATTTTTTTGTAGTCATTAACCATCTCCACTTCTGCCTTACTGCCACCCAAACACACTTCCCAGCCTCTGGTAACCAACATTCTATTCTGTCTCCATGAGTTCAACTGTTTTAATTTTTAGCTTCTACAAATAAGTGAGAATATGTGAAGCATGCCTTTATCTGCCTGGCTTATTTCACTTAACATAATGACCTCCAGTTCCATCCCTGTTGTTGTAAATGACTGGATCTCATTCTTTTTTATGGCAGAAGAGTAGTCCATTGGGTATATGGACTCCATTTTCTTTATCCATTTATCTGTTGATGGACACTTAGGTTGTTTCCAAATCATGACTATAGCGAATAGTGCAGCAATAAACATGAGAGTGCAGATATCTCTTCAACATACTGATTTCCTTTCTTTGGGGTATATACCTAGCAGTGGTTGCTAGATCATGTGATAGCTCTATTTTCAGTTTTTGTTTGTTTGGGTTTTTTTTGTGTGTGTGTGGAGGAAAAAATGTTTTCCATGGTGGCTGTACTAATCTATATTTCCACCAACAGTGTAAGAGTGTTTCCTTTCCTCCATATCCTTACCAGCATTTGTTACTGCCGGTCTTTCAGATAAAACACGTTTTAAGTGGGGTAAGATGATATCTCATTGTAGTTTTGATTTGCATTTCTCTGATGATCAGTGATGTTGAGCACCTTTTCAAATATCTATCTGCTATCTGTAGGCTTCTTGTGAGAAATGTCTACTCAGATCTTTCTCCCATTTTTCAGTCAGATTACTAGATTTTTCTATAGAGTTGTTTGGGCTCCCTATATATTCTTGTTATTAATCCCTGTCGGATGGACAGTTTGTAAATATTTTCCCCCGTGCTGTGGGCTGTCTCCTGACTTGGTTTTCCCATTCTGTGCAGAAGTTTAACTTGATGTGATCCCATTTGTCCATTTTGCTTTGGTTGCCTGTGGTTATGGGGTATTACTCAAGAAATCTTGCCCACTTC